TCCCTCCCTCAAAAGGGCTAAAGAGAAGTGTGGGGAAGAACAAAAGAAGTGAAGCACTTTGCAACTCTCATTTGCTTCCTGAATACCCCGCCCTTTGTATTAAAGCACTCGTTCAATCGGCTGTCACTTGGGCTTACTTAAGAAGGCCACAATTTGGCCAATCTCCCCACAGGTGGTAGCAGTAGGTGAGAGGAATATTTACTTCCTCTACCTTTTAAACAAAAAAGCTTCTATGAGCAGTAGACTCTCACTATTCATATCTCCTGCCAATTAACTGATTGTTACCTATTTTGTCTGCTCGATGAAAATTGTTTTCAACATTCGGTCAACCCTCAAGTAGCACAATTCCAAGTCTCTGAACCATTTTTCTTGAGAAACTAAAATAGGAGCAGTACAATGCAAGAGTCGTTGGAGTTAATTTGTTTCAATTCTACGCAGATATCAGAAGGGCTTCTGTCCACCTTGCAACAATAGCACCAGTGTCTGGTAGAGAAAAGGCCAAATTTGCTCCAAGTAAGAAGCCGCCACTTGTTAATAACCGACTCAGCAGGGCAAAACAGTGGCTCTTCAGTGTTTCAAATCACCAAGAAATCATTAATGTGCTATAGTCAGCGGAAATGAAAATAGGGAATCACGCAGTCATCACCTACACCTTTCAAGCTTGGGCTTCTCCTGCAAATTACAGGCATCTCTCACTTCTGCCATATAATTCCTAATGAGTAGTATATCGCTATTTGGATCCATCCCAACATTCACACAGGTAGAGGAAAGTTTGTGAAGGGAACGTAGGGTCCACTTTATTTATTTTGTCGTTGGGGCTTGAGCCGAAATTTGAATTTGGGGTGTTGAGGACATTTGTCGAAGTTCAGACCCATTGTGAAGTAAAGCAACTTCATCGACGCTCTTTCCCTTCTCGTAATGGCTAAATTAGCATTAAAATAATCTTCCAGTACCTAATAGGACTAAAAAAGCTTCATTCTACTTTTTATTAAATCACTCTCACCTACCTCCAAACCAATCCAACACGCCTTTTTTCAATCTGCCATAACTTACTAAATGATTCGTTTGGAGGTACAATGGGTTGTCACGTTTTACAGTGTTCACCTACAGAAGCAGTACATTAAAATGCCCTAAAAATATATCTGATCTGATTACCAAATAATTTTGTCTCCATTTAGCTGTCAGGACGAGGCTTCAGAAGACGGCCATTCCAACTGCAGTGTTTTCACTGGTAAGCATTCCCTTTTTGGTGGCATCATAGCAAAGACACATTGCTGGCAGGTGAGGAAATACGGAACTCCTGAGAACACCCTTGTTACAATCCAACAATGAGTCAGCACACCAACTACACCATCTACCTGCTGTACAAGAGTTGACTTGAAGGAGTAATTTGCTACGAGTAAGCATGTGTCCAGTTGGAAATTCTCGCATCAGTCAAAGAGATAATTATGTGAGGTAGTGGATTTTTGGCAAGATTAATGGGTTTGCTACAAGCACCACCCATATGTGACACCTCACTAGTCCCATAGAACATTGGTGTTGCATCTGTGAAGTGTGTTTGTGTACCGTTGTGGGGCAGTGATCCTACCACTTCGAGACG